AGAGAGAGAGAAAGAGAATTGAAAAGAAAAACGAATAGATGTCTATATATCGAACTCAATATTGAATGTAAGCGTGAAGCGTGACCACAGCTGTATTGATGATTAATCTCCAAGGATCTGCTCTTTCGTTTGATGTTATGATTATACTTTTTTTTAACACTTTCCTATTCTTCTCAAAATAATAACGACAATTTCCGTCTTAACCATCTGCTTGACCTCATTTCTTTTTAGTTCTAGTAATATACTACTCCTCATTGAATATGTCAACTTTTCTTCTTCTGTCATTAAATGACCACTCACTTCTACTCTTGCTTTCAAAGATTCATTCTTCTTTTTTTTTCAATTGAAAAATGAATTAAAACGAAACTTTTCAATTAGAAGTAGGCAAGACACATAGCCTGTGTCTCTTAGCTCTTCTAAGGCTACGTACATGAACGACGTGTGGCAATAACATAAACAAACGATAGAATACTTTCAAACGACACAATGTGACAAAACAGTCTTGGCATATGTACGCATACCCAAGAGTATATGTTATATTCTCATGAATGAGCAGAGAGAGAGAAGAGAGTGAGAGAGATTCTACAGATAGAATATCAAATCAAACTTTCTACACCATCAGAGATGTCAATCGAAGGACCTTGCGAATAAGATTTATGCAAAAAAAGAAAGAATGATTGACACATAAAGAAAAAAAACACAACTATGTAACAGTTGATTGATCATTTGCGTATCTGTAACACGTTTTTCTTTCCCTCACTTTTATAACACTTGAACGTCACTTAAAGGAGAAAGATTATTTGAAATTAGACAAATACTTTGTCGCTCTTCACTCGACGACACGCTGTGCAAATGATATAACGCATTCACCTGTTCAAATCTATTCACTATTATACTTCATCTGACCTCTTTCTGTTCTTGTTAATTTGATCCGCTAGAAAAGAAAAAGTAACACTGTACACCGTTTTCTTTTTATTACAATACCTCCTTCTTCCGATAGTTTTATTGGAAACAAAAGAATAAAAAAAACACGTTCAAGACTTCTGGCTGAATAAACTTACTTTCTGCCCGCATCATCCAATCATTTGTGAAAAGACGGTTGCGTGCGCATGTACTATTAAAATGTAAATATATATATAAGACACACACACACACACTTGCTCGCTGCCTCTCTAATATATGTATATTAATATTACTACTGTATTGTGATAGAATGACTGACATATGAAAGAAGATGACTTTTCAACATAGGCCCTTTCTTCTTCTTCTTCTTCTTCTTCTTCTCTTCCGTTCTCTCATCTCTCTTTCGTTTG